CTGTATTTATATCAGCTTTCCACATAGATGATAAAATCCCCCAAGGCAAAGATTTTTCTAAGTTCTTTGTACAAAAGTCTGCAAATAGAAATCATTGTTCACTACATAATACATGTTCACTTGAGAGTACATATTATGATTTCAGAGAAATTTTATCCCAAATCTGAATTGCTCAGTTAAGCGCCTTCTTTCTGTCCTGTTTCATTTACAAAATTTGGGAGTGGGGAGAGGGAATTGTCATTCATTTTTTATATAAAGATAATCTCATATATATTCCTTTCCCAGATGTTTGTATTTATTTACTAGTATTTTTATTGGAAAAAAGTAATATTGTAAGTGATAGCAGTTAGAACAGTTCCAAGGATACACACATTAAAAAAAAAGTCTCTTTTATATCCCCCAAACTCAGCAGTTTGTCAATTTCTTGTAAATATCTTGCAGAAATATTCTATGCAGGTACCAACATATATATCTATACTTAAATTTTAGAAGACATCAAAAGGAAAAGAGATAGATGAAAGGATAGATAATAAGTATCCTAGGAAGACAGTTCAAACTCCTTTTTCTCCAAAAAATTAATGATATATTTTACAACTCAAATTCACTGGGCACAAAGGCAATAAATGGCCTTGAGATTTTTTGTTCTAATTTTAAGGGAAAGAGAACTATTATTAATTGGGGGAATATTGTAGGCACATTCTGTGCTAGGCACTTTATACATGTGATTTCATTTGAGCTCTCGAAGATGTCATGAAGGAAGTATTATCCCCATTTTATAAATAAGGAAACTGAATCTCAGAGAGGTTAAGTAAAATTTTTAATGTCACATAGCTGGTAAGTACTGGAGCCACAATTAGAACCCAGTCCTGCATGATTCCAATATTCATGCTCATTCCATATATACTCTAGATCCTATACATTATGTTTAATATTTTGATTATAAATATGGATATGACAGTTGATTATTATCTCAGTGGTTTAAAAATCCGTAACAGGGATCTGTACCTGTAAATTCATGCATCTTAAATCTGTGATTAATATCACTTTGTATTTGACATTATAAAGCCATAAATATTTAGTAGAGTCAAATTCCTTTTAAGAAGGGAACCTGAGACTAAAAAGAGCTGCATCAGAAGAGGCCTGCAGATGGCACTGCTGCCCATGAGTCACCCAAATTAACTTACTAATAGTTTCCTTAAAAAATACATAGTCACTTTATGAATTATCCAACACTGATTCCAAAAGTTAAATTTCAACCAACATTTGGGTGATTTATAAATTGTGTAATTCCTTCCAATTTATGGTTTGATGTTGAAATTTAATGAACATTGAGTGTAACGCTTAATAGTGTTCTAGCCTAGCAACAGGTGGAATACAAGTCTGAGTGGAGAGAACACGTGAATATCAATTAAGCCGCAGAAGAGAAAGAAATCTGGACTCTGCTTGAGCATAAGGTGCTGCCTGACAAATCAGGTCACTTAAGAGTCAGGAGACAGACTGCGATTGCTAAGATCTAAAGACGAATGGAGTCTTTAGAATTTCCAAGTTATAAATCAGAAGGCTGATGAAAAACCAAATACAAAAGTCTGAGACGTTGTACATAATAAGAACGGTAGGTCTTTTAACATTGTATTTTTAGCTTCATCATGAATTTCTAAGAAAAATTATTGCTAATCTCTAATCCTAGCCAATCATATAAGCTTTAGAAGAGAAAGAGAGCTTTCTCGTGAGTCGTTAAGAGACAAAGTGCTAGAGGCAGAACTCCAAGATTTTCATAGGGTTGTGTCTGGTTGATAAGATTATAGGTGATTTACACTCTCATTTCCAAATCATCTATAACAAATACATATCACTTTTTAATAAGAGAAATCAATAAATACTCAAGTAAAAAATAACCAAAACCATTGATTCTCATGATCTCTCCGCCTCTCTCAAACACAAGTCCTTTTTTTTGGTTTGTTTGTTTTAATGCTCAGAATCCCTCGCAGTGAAGATGAGGTGTGCGCACAGATCCCTGTTCAGTGCGGGGCTCTGCATTCCCCAGCTGCCAGGAATACTGGCTGCAGGCGTTTTAGGAATGGTGCTTGACTGAAGGGAGTTGCCTCAGCCGAAGTCACACCTCCTCTCCAGAATCGGCCCATTTTCAGTAACTGGTTTATATGAAAGGACAAAGGCCCAGCCCCTTCCCTCAATTTGAGACCGTTCTGAAGGGCCATCCCAGCTCCCGAGTCCCCCCGGGGTCAGCTGAGGCCTCTGTCGCAAATGCAATGTAGTTCCACTTTTTCTTTTGCTCCATCCAAACTCCATTACTTTCTCATAAGCATTGTTCCCAAGTGTACTCCCAGTCACCTCCTACACATAATTATTTGTCTCAGTATTATAGGGAACATGACCTAAGACAGAACTAAGACTAGTCCTAGGAAGCTGACTAAAAGAGAATTTTGGAGGTGGATCAACGAATGGCTGGCTCATAGTGAGGAGGCTGTTGCTGGTGGCTGGCAGAGCACTGATAGTCCCTGCCAAAACTTCTATTGGTGTGAACTGGCACCAACTCCCAGCCAAGACAGCAAATCCAAAACAATATCACACAATTGTTTTCTTTTCTTTTTTTTTTTTAAACAGTTTTATTTATTTAGTTATTTATTTTGTGAGGAAGATCAGCCCTGAGCTAACATCCATGCTAATCCTCCTCTTTTTGCTGAGGAAGACGGGCTCTGAGCTAACATCTATTGCCAATCCTCCTCCTTTTTTTCCCCAAAGCCCCAGTAGATAGTTGTATATCATAGTTGCACATCCTTCTAGTTGCTGTATGTGGGACGCAGCCTCAGCACGGCTGGAGAAGTGGTGCATCGGTGCACGCCTGGGATCTGAACCTGGGCCGCCAGTAGCAGAGCATGAACACTTAACCGCCAAGCCACGGGGCCAGCCCCGACGCAATTGTTTTCTGAATGGCAGTTTTTTTTTTTTTTGCTGAGGAAGATTTGTCCTGAGCTAACATCCACTGTCAATCTTCCTCTTTTTGTATGTGAGCCGCTGCCACATCATGGCCACTGACAGAGGAGTGGTGTAGGTCCGTTCCCGGGAACCAAACCCGGGCTGCCAAAACAGAGTGTGCGGAACTTAACCACTAGACCACTGGGGCTGGCCAGGATGGCAGTTTTTAACAAGAAGTCTAGTGTTATTCTTATTTTTGTTCCTCTGTGTAAAACATTTTTCCTCTGGATGCTTTTAAGGTTTTTCTCTTTATCACTAGTTTTCAGCAACTTGATTGTATGTGCCTTGGTGTAGTTTTGTTTCTTTTGCTAGGGGTTACCTGGTAGGAAAGGAGTTTTAATTAGCAGATATCTTGTTAAACTCAATATAAGGAAAGAGGAAAGGACTTAGAAATTGAGCATGGTCTTGCTAAGTTCAAGATTTAAATATATTGCCTCTTGATTACCATAGCAACTTGGTTAGGTAGATGTTATTATTCATATTTTATAGATGAAGAAACCCAGAGTTTAAGTTTCCCAAGGACAGAAAAAGGTAATCAATAGGAAATTCCAGGTACTTTCCACTACTGAATGCTATACAACTGTCTGGACAATGTGTGGGGAGAGTGGATCATTATGACAACCATTAGCAGAAGCTACTGGGGATGGTTGGTGGCAGTAACTTCTGGGACCAGAACTACAATTATAAAATAGCCAGACATCATCTGATCTGGTGTAACCTGTGCACTCTCACAAGTTTGCTAGACTATTTTACACCTTCTCTCTTCAACTGTGCATCATCTCCACCCCACTTTACTCTCAGCAGTTGACTTTCTTATTTCCTCAAAAAGTAAAATCAATTAGAAGAGAATTTCTATAAGTAATCAACATCAAATCAACCAATCAACCCATCTATATTTGAACTTAAATACGCTGCCTTTTTTCCTGATAGAATGGAATCTGTCCATGCTCTAGACAAAGGTCAAGCCCTCCACTTGTGTCCCACGTCCCACATGCTTTCACATACTCAAGGATATAGCTTCTGAAGGAATTCATGCTTTCCTTCCTCATCAAATTCTCCCTTTATACTAGTTCCCAAATTTTCAATCAGAACCTTTGTCTCCTAATTAAAAAATAGTTTAATAAGACTAACCAATTGTTGACAATTTTGTTTTGGCTCATGTCTGCCCAAAGCAACTGAGAGGACTACTTTTTTTTTTTTTTGGTGAGGAAGATTGTCCCTGAGCTACATCTGTGCCAATCTTCTTCTGTTTTGTTTGTGGGACACTGCCAAAGCATGGCTTGATGAGCAGTGTGTAGGTCTGTGCCCGGGATCAGAATGACGGGCCACCAAAGCAGAGCACACGAACTTAACCACTATGCCACCGGGCTGGCCTAGAGAGGGATACTTGTTTGCTAAGATCTCTTCTAGTGTTATAATTCTAGTAATAATTGCTAATATTTACAGAGTGCTTATACTATGCTAGACACTTCACATGCATTACTCTATTTAATTCTCACAATTCTAAAAGAGAGGTACTATTATAATCTTTATCTTACAGATAAGGAAACTGGGACTCAGAGAAGTCAAGTAATTTGTCTGTGGTTACAGAGTAAATAAATAGCACACTAGGATTCAAACCTGACTTCAGAGTTCACATTATTAAAGTGTTACACCATGTATTTTGTAATCTCAGTTGCATGCACACTAATGCAGATGAAAGTTTACTATGTCTTTATAATATTTATATATTTAATATCAATAAATACAAAATTAAATTGTTACAAAACCCACAATTTTTATCTCACTATGCAACAGAATTCACATTATTACAAATTTTAAACAGAAAAAGTTTTAGCATACAAACATCTTGGAAAGAATTCTAATTTGGTCCAATAATTTTATAGCTAAGGTTTATGGGCAAAAGATATAGTTATCATTTTCTGTCCAAATTTTTAATAAAAAATAGTAATTTCAAATGGAACGTTGTCATTTTTATAGTATGACATTACTTTCAAAAATAAGAACAGTCATTGAACAATAAATGTCTATTATATCCCAGGCATTATATATATCTTTACACTTAAGGAATGAATATTAAACAATCTTGGAGAAAAATATGGAAGAAAAACTGTGTCAACTTTGTACTAAGTCAATCAAGCAGAAATTTGGATAATCTTGTATTAAGGTGAGAGGCATTTATACTTGGCATTTTCTTAAAATGAAATAATAAAGCCACTGTGCCACCAGCTTGACATTTACTTAAATGTTTATAAAAAGTGCTTAGGGCACTGATTCTCAAAGTTGGCTAAATATTGGAATCACCTAGAGAGTTTGAAAAATACTGATGCCTATCTCTATACCATCTCTTAAAATACGGATTTAATTGGTACAAGGTAGGGCCTGAGCATGTATTGTTTTAAAACTCTCCAGGTGATTCTAATATGTAGCAGTTTGAAAAACACTAGCTTAGAGAACTGTTCCATAATCACAGAGGTCAGTCTTCAGCTGAGGGAATCCCCACAACTTGATTTAGGGGGTATACTGTTATTTTAAGTATCTGATAGGTATACCTCCCTTGATTAGAAAATAAATACTTTAAGGGAAGAGATTTTCTGTTTTATTCATCATCGTGTCTCAATATCTGGAATAATGAAAGACATATAATAGTTGCTAAATAAATATCTTTTGAATGAGTACATGATTGCCTTATACTTCTTTTGTATCTCTATCTTCTAGTAGATTCATGAACATAAGAATGCAAAAGATATATTAAAAAAAAGAATAACTGAAATTATTGGGATAAAGGTTTAAGGCCAACCAAGTCTTATGTATACATATTTTAAAAACACATATGTATATAAATAGATCAAAAGTGGAAAGAGAATATACAAAAGAGTGCAACATTTGGCAGTAGAAAATTAATTCACTGAGTTTTCAAATATTCTTCACATTCTTACACTTAGAAACAAATGTAACCCTAAACAACTAGTTCTTTAATATTCATAAGCACATATGCAGATAAGTTTTCTTGTAACAACAGAATTACAGCTTAATCTTGATGAACATTATGTCAGTTTTCAAAATTCAAGTAAATAAAATTGTAGCACACACCATGATAGCTTTTCCAGATGTTGTTAAACAAAAGATTGTTTCTGGTTAACATATCTGGTATCACCTACTGTTATTTGCTCTCAGTTGAGATCCACTAGTTTCTTAGTCTCACATTGATAAAAAACTATTTTGGCACCTCCTTACAAAACATGTTTTATTTAGAAAAACCTTATTAATAAATAGACTTCCTTTTTAATAGCTGGATTCTTAGATATGGCTTCATTTACCAAAGTTCCACAAGTATTACATAATTTTTAATTCAATTAGTATCTTAGACTACGAAACTTTGGTTTTCTTAAAATTAGCATTGGTTGCTTGATTGTAGGTTTGTCACCAAAAAGTGCTGCTTCACTCTCCGTGGTTGGAAATCTTTTCTGATATATCAAGGGATATTCCTTCTGAAACTTAAAAACAAGGTGAGGAATTAGAGGGTATTGAACATTATTATCCTAGTGGAAGCCAGTGTTGAACATTATATAAGAATTCAGTGCCTGTCTCAAAGCTGTATTACAGAAACCAGTATCCTTTCACTTTATCCTTGCTTCTCCCTCTGCTTTCTCATATACAAAAGGTAAGATTTCTTAGACCCCAGCTGGCATTAACATTCTAGGATCTCTTCTGATGCGAATTCTCCCCACAAATTCCAGATCTTCTTCCTTCATATCGGTAAAGGCTATAAAGGTCACAGGGATCTAGTATATTTCATATTTCTTTGTGTATCTCAGACCTGAAATCGAACTTGTCAGAATCATGTGGCTACTGGATTTTGATGTAGAGCTACAAATTCTAAATGGTAATGATGAGTCACTAAAAGTCATGTATTATAATCCAAATTTTGCAATTGTTTTCCCAGGCTAATCCAAGCTGTAAATACAAAAACACCAGAAGTAAAGGAGAGTATCTATTATTATTATTTAAATTTCAGGATAAAGAATAAAGCCAGGCAGGTAGTCATAAATAGCCTATATATCCAATATTTAAAATCTAGAATATTAAAATAAGAAATTAAATTCTGTGTTATTAAATAACAATCAGCAACAGCATATTAGAAAATATTTACATGATTGAGAATTTGCTCATTCTCTTACCTGTTTTAGTTTTTTCCTTTTCTCCTTGACAGGCAAACTCTTGTTTTTAACAATATTCTCTAAAAGTTCTGCAAGTGCAGCTTGAGAGGTGGAAACTTTTTGTTCATCAAACTCCCGAGCACTAATCTGCTTACAGTATGAATATGTTGGCAAAGGAACAATCAGTCCATCTCCAGGATTTTTAATCTGCAGTGAACAAAATGATACAGTCCAAGTCTATTAATTCTGATCATGTTCCTATTGGCTAAAGTGTTCTTTTGATGCGATTTAGTACCTATTATTTTGCCACCAAATATTCAACACTTTAAGAAAACTACATTATGCAGTAGAGCGGTGATAAGTCAATAGGATCTAAATTTCAGCTCCACAACCCACTGGCTTTGTAACCTTCAGCAAGTTATTCAACTTCTCTTGGTCTGTTTCCTCATCTGTAAAATGAGGATCACATGAGATAATGTATATAAAGTGATTAGCACACAATAAGTATTAAATAAGGTTAGCTATCATCATTATTATAATTAACCATGGGTTTTATTCTTTTAACTACAAAACAATAACAATCAAAGTGATATTTTAATTCATCTTATAACATTAATGTTCTGACATAGTAATAGTTAAAGTATTCATGTACTGTTTTTGAGGTGTAGGGGCATGGGTGGAGCCCATAACACCTGTTGATAACAGAAAGAAATTCTAGGGGATAGTGACAAGTCAGGGCAATGTTAGAACGGCATGTATGGGAAGAAACATGAATATATGTGCTGGGTAGCTAGACTGCATATAACAGAGACCTGCTGTTTTTTGCTGCTCAGTACTCCTTCTCTTCTTATAACTGTTCCTTCCTACTCTACCTCCATTCTCCTTACCTTTTTTGAAGAAAAGATTCTCCTCTAAGCTATGTAAAGCAAATCAGAGTATGGCCCTCTCTCTAAACCACTCACTCTCAACCACCCAAAGAATGTGCATTTAGCTTAGATCGGGCCAATCAGAGTCCATACCAAGAACTTTCCAAATTGGTGGTGGAGGGGTGGCTCCTTTTTCCTTTGGATTGCAAATGTAGGTCTGTGACTCAAGGGCTTTAATTAGTCATATTCCCCATCATGTGAAGGAGCCATTTGTCAAATACAGGACCAAAATGGAAATAAGAGATGGAGGGATGGAAACAGTCCTTTTGCTAATAAGAGTCCCCAGGTTCTGTCTATACCCCTGACTTTTAGAGGTTATTTATGTAAGCTGATAAAGTCTCCCTCTTTGATTAGGCTAGTTTGAGATGAATTTGCCACTTGCAACTGACTAATGCAGAGATTTTTAAGAATTTTAATACAACACATACATGGCCCTTTTTTAAGTAGTCAAGATGTTTCTCCACTGCAGTCTGTAAGTAAGAGGGTACTTGAAGAATTTCCTGATGATGATCCATTAAGAAAGAAACTAATCTTGCAGCAAGAAGCTCATCAAGATCCACTTCTTCAGCACAGCATAGCACACACCGAGAAAAAGTGTGTATCATCTAGAAACATATTAAAATATGTGAATTTAAAAACCTAAGGTTTGATATAAATTAGAATATCAGTAATTTCTGGGTAGCATTATGCTGAAGTATTGAGATAAAGTGATTAACAGACTTTGGCTTAAAAATGAGGACAATAATTTACTATATTAGAAAGGTAAGAATGGCTATTATTCTTTTTAAAATACTTGCTAAGTATTCCCTTAATATAAATGCAAAGGATTATAAAAGGCTTAGCATTTTCTTTAATTTTGCCACAATTTTGTCAGTAAACATCATAGGTTTCCATTAATACCATATATGTATGTTGCTTAAATAATGTCATAGAACAATGACTTATTACATTAAATTAATCCCACAAAAACACCAGGAGAATATATAATATAAACATTAGTGGTTGCAAGACTGGTTCTATTTATCTTCTGAAACTCTGCAAAATAGTTTTTAATGCTTATTCCATCAGTCTTTAAAGGCAATTAACACATATATTTTTCAATTCCATTATAAAGAAGTCTTCAAATCCTGGGACTCTCATTCACATCCATATAACCCACTAAGTATAAGACGCACACACACCTCATTCTAAAATAATTAGATTATTTTAAGTATTTTGCACATAATAGATGAGCATATTTATTGAATTAAAATATTTTTGGTTTTATCCCTATATGTCAGGCAGGTTTTCCTATCTCCTCCCAAGGCTCAGTCCTCAGCTGTTTAATTCTTTCTCAGCTTTGTAGAGCTCATTTACTCATAGCTTCAACTACCTCGTCTCCAAAAAAATCTGCCTTCTGCCCTGAACTTTCTTCACCAGGCTCACATTTCCAACATTTTGTTGGATAAATCTCACTTGGATATCCCATAACCTTAAACTCAAAAATTTTAAAACCAAAATTATCTCCTTCTCACTCATATCTCTCAAAATATCTTCCCCTACAAACTTCTCTATGCTTTTTAATGATGCCACAATTAATCGAGAATAATTCTTCTTCGTATTAGGTCTATCACTGTTAAAGAATTGTCCTTAATGAGTGGAGGAGTAGAGCTCAGCTCCAGATCGCTTGCTAGGAGAACCTCTTGTATATTGAAGCTGCACTCTGAGGAAGTGGCAGCTCTTAAAAAGAATGGAGAGAGAGATTAGAGATACAATTTCAAGAATCCATTTCCAATCAATATCTGTATATAAATGCCTCTGCCCTCATCCTCACAGGGAGCCTGAGACTGCCTCAGTAGTTTCCCCAACTTCTTGCCCACAAAGACCATGCTATCCTAATTTACATAATTCATCAAATACAACTTTCCCACTACCACAATCTCTGAAACACTTTGACGTACTGTACATGGATTTCTATTAATTCCCTACTTCACAGAATATAGTACTCTTTAGCTTTCAACAGCGCCTACGTCTCCTCTTCATGCACCACCAAACAGAATGGGCACAAGGCAATAGAATGTGGTCTGACAGTCCAGGTCAATCATTGTGAAGTGATATAGGATGAGCCAAGAGGCACAGTCCTCAGACGAGATAAAGATCAGGATATGAAAGTATAACAGACTGGGCACAAAGGATTAACACACCAACATTCTGATGCTAGGAAAGATTAGACTTTTAAGAGCCTTTCTAACGTAAGAATCTATGATTTCAAGACTACAACATCACTTAAGTAGTACTTTTAGAAAGTTTGGTTTTCTTTTTTTGGTTTATGAATCAGGGCATATTCTTTCCTTAAGAAATCAACTTACCAGTGATCTTGTACCCATTGCGTCATGAAGTTGGGGCATATCAACATTTTGACTCATTCGAGAAATCATTCGCATTAAAAGCTGAAGCTTTCTACGATTTGGTGGGGGAAGTAACAAACAACATAACTGTAGTGCATCGATGGCAACCTTCTCTAAATGAGGTTGCAGCAAACCTAGAAGGCAAAGTTACCCCCCCCAAAAAAATCATCAATGACACTAGTTGCTTTCATACTACCAGCATATAGTTATATAAAGAAGGCAAAATAGTATTTTAGTATTTAATTTCTTTTAACTATTCCTAGAAATTTCCACATTCCTCAAAAGCATGATAAGATTCTCATTTGCTCCATACCTATTTGAGTATTAAAATCCTTCACTTATTACAAATAAAGTGACTCAGAATAAGTGCAATTGAAGGGAAAGAAATAAGTGCTTTAGGTAAGTAGAATAAATCTTAGTTATGTCATGACAAAGAGTCTTTTACGATAAGAAATTTTCCTTTTGGAGGAAGAAAATAAAGCAATTTCAGAAAAGAAAAGACAGATAAGCCAAACACAGTTAGTAAACACTAAAAGTTAACATTCATGCATTGAAAGCATCAACCTTACTTTGTGTGCCAGTCAACATAGAAGAAGCTGGAGGTAAAGAATTTTCTGAAAGTTCTATTGTACTTTTGCAGAGTCTTTTATTGATTGTGGTACTAGACTTTCCGAGTTCACCTTCCTTGGCTGTTTGCACACTTGTGCTGCCTTGTCCAAGATTTGGTTTCATGATAATTTCAGCCACTGGCATATTGATATAACTATTCCTTCTTGTACTACTCCTTAAAAGTAAACTCTGAGATCTATAAAGCTGTTTTGACTTGCATTTCCCATTACATAACTCCTCTTGGTCTTGAACAGTCAAAGGAGAGGTTCTCTTAAAACCAACACAGAGTGGCTTTTGATTACTTTCCTCTGAATGAAGATTCGTTAGGGATTCCTGTTTGGTCTTAGACACTAAAAACTGTTTATTATTTTGTCCTTCTATGTTCAGAACAGATTGATGGAAGACACTGGAGACCTCTCTAATTGAACTCACTGGTAAATCTACAATTCCTTCTAAAGAATAGCACCTTGGTTTGATGTTAGAGGACAGAACCTGCATACTACTTAAGCCTATTAAATTACGACAACTTCCTCCCATTATGTCATTAGCACTGGCTCTTCTGTTTTTTAAATTAACTAGCTGCATTTTCTTAGCACATTTTTCTTGAAATCCTTGATCACTTATCCGCAGTCTCTCAGTAGTATCTGATTCTTCGTTTTTGTCTTTATGAAGCAGACTGAGAAGAAGACACTCAGTTGATTTGAAGGAATTCAAACTGTTTAAGTGAAGGATTTTTGAAGACTGTGGATCATCTTGGATTTTATGTATCCCACTGGGTCTATCTGAAACTGTGACGTAGCCACAAACAACTACCAGGAAATGAAACAAAAATTAAGATGCAACTGTATGACGGTGGACAAAAATAAAACAAAAACAACAGTAAAGTTAAAAAAATAAAGCATCACTGTAGTATATATTGTTAGTACAGTACAAATAGCAGTTGCTTAATTCAGAAGCCACTTAAATAGGACACATGCAACATTCAGTTACAAAGTGCAAGACTGACTAGAGGTTTTCAACCTGTTATATAAATAACTTTAAAATTTATTTCACCAATCTACTTAAATGGATTGAGTCAAATCCATTAAAAAATATCCGCTCTCAGTTTACAAGTATAAGAAAGCTCTTAATCATTAGACAACTGTAGGATGAAAAAACATGTATTTGGTCTTTGCCTCTGGTCCCTGGCACAGAGCTCCTAAAACCTTTGGAATTTCCAGAGCCATAGGAGTCTTTCGTTATTCATAAAGAGCCTACCTAAGCACATCTGAGTTGATGCTGATGAGGTGACTCAGGGCTAGTCTTGCTTGGAACAGAAGGTTGGAACTTTCAGCCCTACCTCAGACCTCCCTGGAGGGGAGGGGGGCTTAGAGATTGAGTTCAATTACCAATGACCAATGACTTAATCAATTATGCCCATGTAATGAGAACTTAATTAAAACTCTGAGACAACAAAGCTAAGGGAACTTACGTGCTGGTGAACACATGGATATGCTTGGGACAGTGGCATTCCTGGAGAGGGCTTGGGAGCGCTACACAACACTTACCCCCATACCTTGCCCTATGTACCTCTTCCATCTGGCTATTCCTGACTTGTATCCTTTATAACAGACTGGTAATCACTAAGTAAAGCACTTTTCCAGAGTTCTGTGAGTCATTGTAGTGAATTATTGAACTTGAGGGGGGTCGTGAGAACCCCTGAATTGGTAGATAGTCGGGCAGAGGTGCAAGGAAGCCTGAGGATCTCATTTGCAGCTGGTGCTGAAGTGAGGGTGGTCTTATGGAACTGAGCCCTCAATCAGTGGAGTCCGCACTACCTTTAGGTAGTTACTACCAGAATTGAAGGACTTTGTCCTTAACTTGTAGGGTTTGAGCTAACTTTGGGTAGTGTCAGAAATGAATTGCAGGCGCCTAATTGGTGTGGAGAAATTGTGTTGGAATGATATATTTGAACTACTGGAAAGCAACACAACAGCAACTGGAGTATTCCCAAATTTTAAAATAATTTATAGCCTGCCCCCTTCATATTTACCTATACTTTTAGATCTTTTAAATTATGGGACACTTGAAAACTTAAAAAAAATGAATTTAAATAATAAGTAAAAGTCCATACATACCCAAAATGTTCACAAATAATTCATAATATTCAAAGGTAAGTAGAGGTTCAGGGAGACCTAGAAAATAATCTGCAATAGTTCTGAATACATCTCGTTCAAATCCAACATAAGTTGGATTATTCATATCATTACTTCTTGGCCCTAAGAAGTAGAAGGCAAAAAAAGAAAAAAGGCAAAATATATTTTATTTTAAATACAACGTTTAAATATACTTATAAAAAGTATCAAACCTGTATTTCATAAAAGAGCTATGTTTAACGACAAATTTTGTCACATTTCAAAATTTAAATATAATTTAAAGGGTTATGCACATTTCCTTCCCTCTCATTATCTTTTCACTAGAAATCACTGCAAGCAACTACTAGTATTTTAATATTTATATACCTGAAAATTGTATATAAAGCAAAATTTGTAATATATTTTAAAAGCATTAGGGGAGTTTATTTTAATGTGATTTTATCACAATTCATTTTATAAAGTGAAGGCTATTTGGATAATGCAAATAAATCTTTCAAATGGTCTTCTGTAAATTTACATTTTCATGAATAAATTTGGCCTGACATGAAGCATACCTTTAATGAGTTTAAATAATACCTCTACATTGCTGTTTCATCAGCTTAACATTTTTGAAATAATCACACCCACTCATTAGTGTTTTCCTCAGAAATAAGATCTGATCTCCTGTTACAGATGAATAAACTGAAGCTCAGAGTAACTTGCTCAAGATGAAAGAGCCATTGGTGGCAAAGCTAGAATTAGAACTTCGAGCAAGGTCAAGTGAAAACAAGACCCAGGACTTTAAGGTCCGACAACATTTAAAGTGTGGTCCATGGACTACATAATCAGAATCATCCAATGTGCCTATTAAAAATATAAGTTCTTCGATACAGACCAGAATCTATGGAGGTGGAGCTAGGAATTACTGACCTAGAGATGTTTGCTTCTGGTTCACTAATTTAGTAGTTTCCGAACTCTGATCTGGGAATCTTTGCTATAAGAATCTTCTGAGGCATGATTTTTAAAAAAAAACATTCCCAAGCTATTGAATCAACTGAATCAGAATCTTTGGCAAGTCTCCCTAGTGACTGTCATATGCATTCATGCTTGAGAGTCACTATGCTATCTTTCAAGTTAAAATCTTTCTCTTCCCAAACCCCAAACTTTTGTATGGCTACACAAGTGTGAGCACACACACCAAAAAAGGATTAAAGAAAACAAACCACACACATATTTAATACCTTAAAGGCTAATATGGGTTTTATGTAGAGCAAAATAGACACTTTTCTAAGGAGGATATAAGAAATATTCTTAATATGTAGAATAAAAGATTTGATAATCATTAGAAAGTTTTCTAAGACAGGAAATACTTTATTGAAATTAAAAATACAGAATTTATAGTTAGAGAATCTAGGTTTGAATACATAGCTCCTTATGTATTAGCAGAAGACTTTCTAAGCCATAGTTTTCTCTTCTAGAAAAAAATTGGGAATAGTACACTGATCACTGATTCCTATATGTCACAGGATTACCGTGGTGGATTAAATAATAAGTAAAAAATCTTAATACTGCTTCTGGCTAGATACATTGTTGTTAAAATGGAATCCAGTAAGTTATATCTTTGGTATCATTTAGGTATAACATGGACTGGAAAGAAAGGGAAGAAAAAATCCCGAAGAGAGGACGTCAGTGTACTCCCTGGAAGTATGCTTCTCTGAGCTGCCAACCATGAGCAGAGAGAGAAGGGCAGCCAGGTAGGGGAAGGTAGAAAGAGAAACTCAAAAATCTTAAGCTTATGATCAAGACCTTTACCTCCATTTGATAAATAAAATCTTTCTGTAACTTATTTACTTTATTCTGTTATTTTGTCATATTGACACCCAGTGGACGACAAGGGAATACATATATACTTATCCTGAACATTAATAAAATACTAATTTTATAAGAACTAAAAAAATACTCTTGTAACAAAATTAAATTAAATATATTTTAACTTCTGATGATTTAGAAGCACGCACTTCTGCACATTTCTAAAATTGATTTTGAAAAGCAATTAGGGTTTTGTACTTGAACTAGGGTCTTAAATTATGAAAATCAATTATCACTGATCACTATGGAAAAAGCTTGATGAATGAAATGCTAAAAAAATGATATGCTGATTGGTGACAGATCATTTTTTTCATAAACATAAAAGTCCCATTAATATATCTTACGTAGTAGAAGCGTGTCATGAAGTACCTGAATGCTGAGGCCGTGTAAGGGGCAAGGGGACTGAAGTGGGCTTTATGAGACTTCATTTCTGACTGAAACTTCCCACTTACAAGCTGCTTTAATCACAAGCTGCGATTTGAACTCTCTGGGCCTCACTGAGACAACTGATGTAGATTATACCTAAACATCCCTTGAGATCCTTTAGCTCATGATTTTATGATTTATGAGAACTGAGCCACAAACGATGGGCTTGAATTATAAAATCACCATCTGCATAGAAAAAGTTAAGGGCTCTATAATACACTCCACATGCAAAGAAATATAATCAGTTCTACTAGATTGTCCTATAAACATTAAGAGAAACATACTTTAGTTTTATCAGGACTTTATTATTTAAAAAGTTTCTTGGTTCTTGTTAAATACTATCAATATAAAACATATATACATTTTTGCTTGTTTTTTAACTTACAATTTGCTAGGCACTTCATGGCAGATAATACCCAGTGAGGAAGGTCATCTATACAAAAAAAAAAATTTACATTGTTTAGTAAATCACACAATTTTTATGATAGTATATTTAAAACTTCACACTTATACATAATTATATATACATATACATACATATATTCATCTATGTGTGTATATATACATTATATATGTATATATATGTATATAACCAAGATTAAAAATTATTATATGTTTAATAAGACATAGGGCCAAGAAAATATTTTAAATACAAGTTTAAAAAGTTATAGAGATCTTGAGTTTGACTCCTTCCATGATATAGACAACAATTGGTTACCCCAAATTCAAGAATTAATTATTTTGGGAGAGGTTTGGAAATAAATTAACCTTCATCTTTATCCAGTACCACCATCTTTTCTTTATCCTCATTTCTGTTCTGACTATAGCTAGGCCATCTGAATATTACTGACTGAGTGAGACCTATGACTGAAACGAGCTACATCTGAATATTAGGGTGCTTTCATAGCGAGGCTTGCTTAAAATCTTTCAATTGCCACTGAAATATGCTGCATAAAATCTAGCAGTTTTTTGACATAAACACAAAACCCACGTACAGTTGACCTGAAAAGTTTATGAGTATAAAGAATAGAAAGCTTGGATGAGAACATATACTGATAAGTATGTTATTTTAGGTAATGAAGGATGGGACTGGTCCAAAGCCACATGCATACACACATAACATAACTCGAAGTTTTTTTTTTTTGTGAGGAAGATCAGCCCTGAGCTAACACCCATGCTAATCCTCCTCTTTGCTGAGGAAGACCGGCCCTGAGCTAACATCTATTGCCGATCTTCCTCCTTTTTTGCCTTTTTACTCCCCAAAGCCCCAGTAGATAGTTGTATGTCATAGTTGCACATCCTGCTGGTTGCTGTATGTGGCACGCAGCCTCAGCACGGCCGGAGAAGCAGTGCGTCAGTGCGCGCCCAGGATCCGAACCTGGGCTGCCAGTAGCGGAGCGCGAGCAGTTAACCGATAGCCACGGGGCCAGCCCCCAACTCGTAAGTTTTGACATTTACATTTTGTTCCTACAATTAAAATCTCACAGTTCTTGCTCACAGAAAGAAATTCAAAGCAATGCATGCCAGTTAATCCTACAGACAGCGATTGATTATAAAAAATAAGTCTGAGTGGATTTATTGAAACATTTCTCGTAATCTAGGTTTTCTAATGCATCTGGCTTGAATTCCTTCCCTGATTTACCTATCTTATATCTGAAATCAATATGTTATAGAAACATATTTAACACAAAGCCAGCGATCTTTAGAATACTGGTCTTGAAAGTTTGGGCTTATTTTATTGTGTGTAATTTCAGTTTGCCTATGTCTTGATCCCTGTAAATTTGGATATAACTACTCATGTAGGCTCCACGGACCATTCCTCTCTTGCTCATCACTAATCTTTAGCACAATGCCTGGCACATTGTAGGCCCTCAATAAAATGTGGTTAATCAATAGTTTTAATTATATTTGCATACTTTTTGGATGTCTAACCCTGCCATTTTTTTAAAAATCACCCATGAATCACCTTAGGAGCTAAAATAATAGTATGAATAATATTCACTTAAAAATTATTCCTCTGTGATTACGAAAGCACTTACGATAACACAATAGTCTCCCTGATGCTCTTTCGATTAAAGTGTTCTACTTTCTACATTTTGTCTCTCTGTGCCCCCACTATAGCTGCGACCTTTGTCAGCAAGGTTAAAAAGATTCCAACTTTTTTTATTGATACCAACCTGATTTGTCTTGTAGTATAACTATTCCATGTTTACTTGTATTGGTCATGTTGTACATTACATACTGAGGAATTACTTGTTTTGGATTTATGACGTCTTCTAGGGATGATACACCTAAAATAGTTTGCAGGCTAAATAGAAGAAAGAATACAAACTTTTTTCCCTCCATAACATAAGTGGAATAGGATATAAATATAAAAGAATATGACTGGCAAACAAACAAAGCTGTCAGAATATTTTGTCTTTTTCTTAAACCAAACTTCTAAGGCTTTATTTAGTATCCACTTTCAAATAGATTTATCTTAATGAGCTTTGAAGGATTCCATTATAGACCCAACTATAGCTACAACTTTGATTCAAAGAAAAAGCAAATCATAGTGAAAATATTCTATTTCTACTGTACTAGAACTAGAGCAAGAGCATTTATTCAGAAATACATATACAGGTTCATTTCTAAGCTTTTAGAACTAATTGGTTCTTTTCCATTTCTTCATGAAAATGTCAAATTAACATTCCAAACACCTTAGAACTTGGTTTTAGCTTACTAGATCAGAATAATATATCTCCAAACTTCTTCAACATCTTCCTGACTTATTTCTCTATTATCAAATGAGTTTTCTTGATCTTCATTGATTATTTCACAGTTTATTTTCTCCGCATTTTCCTGAAAAAAGAATTATTTTGGTTTAATGTTACGCTCAAATTAAGGAAATACTGAACTGACACCACTCCTAATACTTGGTAATTCTATTAGTGTCAGTCCACTGTGGAGCTATAAGTAAGTACCACCTGAAGAAATAATGTAACTTATGGTAATAAAGCTTTTGGCTTGCAGCTGTCCCATCACCCTCAAATCAATTTAAAACAAAACATGCTTAAATTACACAAATACCGTTTCAAGTATGTTTCACTACCATTTTTGTTATTGTTTCTATGGGTTCTAAACAAATATACACATACATTTTTAGAATATAATGTAGGTTAAGAGATTTCAGTATTGGCTTCAAACATTAAAGAATCACTTACTTTTAACAATTCTACTATTAAGCACATGGTAACTATATTTAAACTAGGGATTAGTAAAAAGGATGTTTTACCTGAGAGAAGCGTAATCCATGCTTCTTAGGAGTTCTACGAGACAAGTTTCGTAATTTAAAAGTACTATCTTTATCTTTGGAAAAGTGCTCTATGCTGTTTTTTCTCAATTCTGGATGCCTTCGTGGAAGAGTTTTAAGTGGAGAAGTTGCAGGAAATCTGGTTTAAGAATAACATGCAATTAAATAATGTGAGATCAGAAACAAACTTTTAGTGCCTATGTATCTTAAAAATCACACAAAGAAACAGATTTATTTACATTACCTTATGAAGATTCTCTATATATCGATTTTCCCATGAAACCTTTTAAAAATATTTTAATAGTTTCTGGCTTTTTTTAGTATACTGTGCATATTTTAACTTTATTTCTGGATAATTCAGGGTTATTATTAGGATCAATTCTGTTGGAGGGGTATGCTTACATACAAAATGGTTCTAGAATGTTACATTTCTAAATTTCTTTGATGCATTATCTAATTTGTATGTTTTCTGCCTTTATTGGACTGTGCTTGTTCTAATTTCCAGAACTTGGTCTCTGTTGTTCCTTTTGATTATAATGCTTTTTCCTTCCTTCATTTTAATACAAATTATTTCAAAGAAACAAAAAAGTACAGAAAATAATATAAAACAACATTCATGTACGAACCATCAACCAATGCAACTGTTAACATTTTACCAAAGACTTCATTATCTTTTTTTCTTAAATGAAAGAAATTCTTTGCTTATTCTATTTCTTTCTCTCTTCCTAAGGGAAATCATTATCTATAGATAGTATATTTCCTTCTTGTTCTTGTTTTTATACTTTTAATACATATACATAAACAATATATGTTTTTTTGTTTTTTCACTCTATGGTATCTTTTATCATACATTAAATTTATGCATAAGTTTTTAGTGGCCTCAGAAGTTCTTTCTTATTCCACTGTCCTAAAAATATTTTCTTATATTCTCTCATAAGTGCTTTATTTTCATATTTAGGTATTTAATCCATGTATAACTTATACCACTTTCCTATATATGTAAGAGTTTGTTTTCTCAGTACTTAATTGTTTTAATTTAATTTAAGCCCAGATATCAGGTAAGACAATTCTCCTTTCCTTGTTCTTCAAAATTCCCTTGGAGCATTATATTACCAAATAAACTTGAGAATCTGTTTGTCAAATTCTATAAAAATTTATAGAGGTTTTAAATGAAAATGCACTGAATTTATAAATCAATTTGGGGAGAAGTGACTTATTTATCATACTAAGTCTTCTAAATCATCAACAGGATATCCTGCTCCACTTATTACCTTCAATACAATTTTATAATTTTCTCCAGTCACGTCTTACATATTTTTGGTGAACTTTATTTTGAAGTACTTTATAGTTTTGTTACCATTGTAAAAGACTAGAAGCAGAAGAGTCGAGAGTTATGCAGAATTCCAGGTAAGAGAATAACAGCCTAACAAAACGAACATCCCCAGTGGAGGGAGAAGTAGACAGACCAGAGGACCACTGAGGAAGTAAACAACATGGTTTGATAATTAAATAATATTTAAAAGAGAGAAGAAAGGGAAAGAATCCAGGCAACTCCAGGGAAGACAGTGCCATTCATTCAGGTGTGGACATAAGAAGACAAAATCCTGGTTATGAGGTGATAGTGATTTTCTGTTATATTTGAAGTGCCTGTTGAATAGATAAAAAATGGTTATAAAGCTCAGGAGATATTTGGGTTGGAGGTTTGTTAAGTCATAAGAAAAGTAGGTGAAGACATGGCATGAGACTGCCCAGGGAGAGAGGTGAAGGGAAGACAAGTCTAGGACCTTGAGGACCAGTGACAGCTAAAGGATGAGCAGCAGCAAAGAAGCTCACAAGGTGACTGAGGACTAGTTAAGAGAGGAAAGATCTGTAGTGTTAAACTAACTATTCATAGGCTTGTTATTGCAGTTTACTTGTATGACACAAATGATCTTTGATATAAAGGCAAGAATCACCTTCTAAGACATTACATTTGAAAAGTACTAATTTTGTAGAGAAAAAAAAGCATGGGTATTAGAATCCAAAGATCTAGTTTAATGGATATATAACAAAGAACCCTGAGTGCATGAGAGAAAAAGCAATTTTTGCTGGCCTGAGGGAGTCAGAAAGGCTCCACAGAGGAGGCTACAACAGAGCCGACAGGAGAAGAAACGTATTTACTACTCTGACAAACGTGTACAGTGTTTCAAGGTGGAAGAACATATTTCGGACAGAGGTAACAAGATTTATGGAAGTCTGGTTTCAGCTTTCTCATCTGTAAAAAGGAGCTAATACCTACCCTGCTTAGCTATTCTAGGGATTAAATAAGAAAACATGTAAATCATAAAGCAGGGCTTCTGGTACACGATAAATGCTTAATAAATAGTCTCTTTAATCTGTGGTATATTTCGTCTTTTATTACATAAAGTTTGCTATTATTTATCTTATCACACGTATTCTTAGATGATATAAGATTATACGCCATTGAAGGCAAAGACCTGTGAGAATTTGTCTTGTAATTCTTGAATTTATAAAACTAAAGTTAATAATGATCTGTCTTCGCAATGTTTTAGAGCTCTCAGAATATGCAGAAGTGATAATATCTCACTCTTTCTTCCCAATTCCCTATTTTATTATATATCCTATCTAACATTTTAAAAGTTTGAATTGTGCAGCAATTAACTTTAACTTCTAAATGGTTTTAACTGGACTAAGAGCAGTAACAGTTTTCTAAAGAAAACACCGTTTATCCTGAAGAAGCTGCTATTTTAGTAAAAGCATAATAGAAGTGGAATTAAACGTTAAGTATCAGTTTTGCAGTTATTTATCTGTTCAGTACCTGAATAGTTGACTGTTGTCATCAAGATTTTCTGATCCCCATCTACCTTTTATATCTTCAATTACATGATTCTTAAGAAATTTTCTCAACAGTTGGATAGTCTGTTGTCTTGTAACTTCAGGACCAAAATTGCTATTATTTCTTAATAGGTCATAAAGCCAATCCACTGCTTCTCCTGCTGTAAAACAGCTGCCATATTTTTTAAAGTGCTGCCTGTGTTTTCTTAGAGGCATTCCTGCTCGAAAAGATGTGGTAACTTCATTCCACTGCAAAAAGAAGGAAAATTAAAAAAAAAAAAAAAAAAAAGATTAAACAACAAAAGTGAAACCTCTCTCTGATTTGAAACAAAATAGACAAAGAAAATTCTTTCATTCACATCTGATTACAGCATGAATTTTATGTCAGATTGATTTCTTTTTATTAATTCTATGTAATAATATTTTTATGTAGTAGTTTTTGACTAAAAGCACTTCAGTGGCATGTTGACTTATGCAGGAAAGCTAGGAATAATGAAGAAGCACTGCAATGAACACGAACCTGCCTCTTATCCTCAATAGAGAAAGCATTTATTCCTGTGTTTTCTATTTTACCTTAACCAATATTAATAATATGCTGGTAGCATTGGTGTCAGACACTGTGCTTTACATTCGTCACTTTCTCACAATTCTATGAATAGTTACTATTATTATCCCATTCTCAGATAAGGAACATGAAGCACAGAAAGATTTAATAATTTGACCAAGGCCACACAGTTAAGTGATGAACCCAGGCATTCAAACCCAGGTCTGATTGACTTAAGAACCCGCATGCCTAACTGCTCTGCTGGCCAGACTAAACTCATGGCAGGCAGTAGTTCTACTGGTAAAACACCGTTCATATTAAAACAACTTACGTATTTACTATAGCGTCTCTAATGTGGAGATTCCAGTAGTGAACATAGAACAGATGGGGTAAATTAAGTAAGCTTTGAGTCCATAGTGTATCTCACGGCATCGTTATACCTACATTTCACAAAGATACTCATATTTTCCAAATCATCCTCACACCATCCAAACTTTCAGGTTTGTGGCAGTGGAGCACGAAGGTGGTGGTGGTGTAGAATAAACACATCACTTTTCAATGGAAAAGCCCTACATTAGAGGTCGAGAAAGCCGATTTGTAAGCCCAGCGACGCCACCGCTTGCTATGTAACCAGGCCTAAGCTACATGGCCCCAGCATCACAAGGCAGAATTGAAGGGCTGAAAACACAACGGCGGCAGTCTTCTCTTCCCACACCTCCCCATTTCACACTTGTACTTATTCAACAAACTTATACTGAGCTGCAACTTATCCACAGGATAAGCTGTTTACTATTGTACAAATCACAATGCATGTCACACAGACCCTCTCGGAAGCGCCTTAAGGTGGGCCTGTACGGTTAGTCCTACTCCACCAACGAGGAAACTGAGGCTCACGAAGTCGTGCCTCTCCTAAGGCCAGGAAACCAGCGGCACTGAACTCTCCTGGAAGGAGGATCCAAATGCACAAGACACTGTACAAGGACAAATGCAGCGACTGCAACAGGCGCTCCCGCTGGGTGTCTCAACACCCCGGTTTGGTTTCGAACTAGGCAGCTGTCACCTAGTGCTCCCCAGGCCCAGCACGACGACGCTGTCACACTCGGGCTGCCCCGGTCTGACCCCACAAAGCATCAGGGCTCAGCCTAAGTTCTTCTCGAATCCCGGTGGGGGCAGAGAATCAGGCGCGGGGGGCGGCGACAGTCGGAGCCTCCAGGAGACACAGCCCAGACCCGGCGAGGGCCCGAGGCCCCCTCGACTCCCCGCGCCCCCCTCCATTCCCCGCGGCCCCCTCCATTCCCCGCGGTCCCCCCGATTCCCCGCGGACCCCTCGACTCCCCGCGGCCCCCTCCATTCCCCGCGGTCCCCCCGATTCCCTGCGGCCCCTTCCATTGCCCGCGGCCCCTCCATTCCCCGCGGCCCCCTCCACTCCCCGCGCCCCCTCCACTCCCCGCGGGCCCCTCCATTCCCCGCGGGCCCCTCCATTGCCCGCGGCCCCCGCGATTCCCCGCGGACCCCTCGACTCCCCGCGGCCCCCTCCACTCCCCGCGCCCCCTCCTCAGCGGAGCGAGGGCTCCGCGCCCCGGCCCTCCGCCCGAGGGAAATCCCCCGACGGTCTCAGGGAGAGCGGGGGCGCCCGCCCAGCCCGGTCGCTCCGCGCCCTCTTACCAGCTTGGTGGCCCGGTAAGGGCCGGGCGGCACGCTCCGACTCTCCATCCCGCCCTCGGGCCGCAGCTCCGTCAGCGCCCGGCGCCGAGCACGGCGGCGGACGGCGGTCCAGGCCCGACGCCCGGCGTCAGCCGGCGCAGCGCAACCGTTGGCCCCGCCGCCGATTTGAATGCCGAGAGGGTGGCGCTGATTGGCTGCCCGCCGGGTCACGTGACGCGCCAGGGCCCGCCCAGCCGGCGGGGGCGGGGGCGGCTGCTGCGGGGCGCGGGGCGCAGGGGCGAGTACCGGCTGGGCCGCGCGGGGTCCGGCGGGGAGTGGGGTTGGGGCCTCGCCCGGCTTCCTGGAGCTGCTTCCTACTCTGGCGGCTGTGGGCGAGGCGGAGTCGTGGTTCCCTGCTCAGAAGCGGTGAGGCCGCTCAGTCCCGGACAGGACTGTTGTTGGGAGTTCAGCCTTTGGTCTAAGGGACCGTGAAATTTGAAAGGAAAAAACAAAAGCAAAACCCCCAGGCCTTCCCTGCCTGGCCCCACAGGATCTCCAGCAATGGTTGTCATGTAAAACAGAGCATCCCTGGGGGGCAGCTCTCACCTGACAAACCCCTTGGTTTTGCTGCTAAAAAGCTTCCTGGGTACTTGGCGGGGCCCTCATACACCTGAGCAGGGGCCATGACTCCATCCTTCCCAGTGCAAAAATGGGGGTTAAACCTCCCTTAGGTGGTAAAATGGAGCATAAGTAGCTTTCCATAAGTACACACAATGAGGAGCTTGGGAAAGGTTACGTAAAACTTGCCAAATTGCCTCCCTTAAGAAAATCTACCATATCTTTGTAAGGCCTGTTTATACTTGAGTCATGGTTATACACTTGAAAATTCGATAGGATTTTAGAAAATCTGCAACAAACGTCATTTTTCAAATGACAAAAACTAAGTTCCAAGTTAAAGAGCTTTGCCCAAAGTCTCAGATCCCGTTGGCAGAGCTCAGACTTCATGCTTGTAATAAGGCACTCTATCACCAGTTTGAGATTATTTAATACTAGGCCTCCCTTGTACAGCAGGCTGAGAGGTTACTAGAGTGATTTGAAGCTGTGGAAGAATTAATTTGGAAATTAAACAGCAATTTGAAAGGATAGGAGTTAGCAGCAAGGAGAGAGGTAAGAGGAAAACGTTCTGGGGGGGAGTCCTTTAACGGTCTGCAGAGTTTACCTTAGCTATTGAACATCAGATAATTTAGATGGAAATACATCAATTTTCTGAACAAGACCAGTGGATGGGAATTTTCAGAAAGCACTAGGTAAACAGGAACTATCAACTCAATTTTGCATTTGTGTTAAGGAAGAGCAGAGTGATAGATGTTACAAAATAGTGTGAACCATTTTTCATCTGGCTTTATGACACATTGTCTTAGGGTTTTCTTTTCTCTTTTCTTTTCCCTATTTCCCTTCAGAATGAGATGGAGATGAGAAGGTGGAAGCCAAAATTTATTTTGCATTTTTGCCCAGCTCTCTAGTTGAAAATTGTCTCATATAGAGCATTTGATAAGAGTAGCCACAACATATTACCTAAGTTTCTAAGACATAAGCTGACAGGGGATTAATGGCACAAAATTAATTTAAAATTATAAAGTATCATCTGGAACATTTTAAAGGTTAACAATAAAAGAAAATCCACACTTTTAATAAGAGAATAGTTGGAGAAGTTCTAAAAAGGCATGCAACAAGATGTAGGTGTCACCTCTTGAGAAAGCCTCTGAGACTTTTTCAGGTGCTTTCCCTATGCTTATGGATTTGCTCTGCATCATCCACTTTTATATTGACTGTTTCTTTAGATGTGGGTGGTTTGGGTTTCTTTAAGGTAACTTTGCGTATCTCTGCTCCTAGCAACTATTTATTGATTTCATAGTTTAATTCTTGGAAGTAATTTTATTTCTCTCACTACCAAGTTTTTGGGAGTCACTTTATCATCGTTTTCCTCATTCCCCTGCATTAGGATTTCTCAAGTGGGTTACAGACCACCTGAGTTAGGATCACCTGGATACCTGTTAAAATGATGATGTCTTGGATTCTCCAGACAATTTGGGGGAAGTGTGTGTGTGTGTGTGTGTGTGTGTGTGTGGTGTGGCAGGGTGGGTACAGGGTACATTCTTAGGGATGGAGGAGCCTGGGTCTCTGAAGACTTCGTGGAGCTGAGCTGCTAGAATGCCCGCAGCCTGCCTGCCTAGGGACTCACGTAAGAGAGAATGGAGGAGAGAAATGGGAGCCTATGGTAATTTACTCTTACAGCTGAACCTGTCCCTAATTGATAGAACTAATATTCACAAAAGAAAATGGAATGAATGTATCACCTCTTAAATATGATTAAACCTAAAATTCTTCCGCGTAGGCAGAGCTTCTTTATCTCAGCAAGCTTTCTCCACTCTGCCTATACAGCTTCATTTATTGCCACTGGAACATAAGTTCCATGGCAGAGACCGTCTAATTTGTTCACTGCTGTGTCTTCAGCTGCTAACCAGCACCCGGTGTGAATTTGAAAAATGTTAAGTGAATGGATGAGTTTTTTTCTTATCAACAAAAAGAAAGCTTGTATATGGGTGATACAATCCAATTATCTTCCCTTCCTAGGAAGCTTTTTATAAAATCTTTCTGCGTGTTTGTACAATTGATTTGTGCTTGAAGTTTACCCATTCTACCATGCTATGTCTAGTTATGAGTCTGATTTCATGAATCTTGACTAATATTTGATCTGGTCTGAGAAAATTTCCTCTTTTTCTTTCAAATTGCTCCAGTCTCTTTTCCTCCCTGCTTCTGAAAATATTATTGATTATTTGATCTCCTGGAGCTATCTTATTTTTCTAATCACCTTCCTTCTATAGTTTTCCCTTTATTATTTTTTTCCTTTAAGTTCTGAGAGAACTTTTCCAGCTGAGGTTCAAATTCACTGGTCCGATTTCCTTTACACCCTTATGTTTTATAGTAACTCACTATAAAATGCTCAAAAATGACCCTCTTCTTTGAACTGCTGATTTTTTCATTGTGTGCATTGATTTTCTTTAATTTATGTATTGCTATAAGGAATTTTTAAAAATTTACCATCAGTAATTGAGATGAGTCCCAGTAAAGGCTGGGTAAGTCCATGTAAATATTTTAAAAATAACTACTTTTTACTTTTCCACCACTCATTTCCAGGATCCCGCATCCCCAAGTATGTAGACAGCTGCTGTTTTTTAGGGTTAAAAGTATAGTTGACATTCATTGTTTTGTCTGGCAATTGGCTCTCATTTCTTTCGGGAATAGCGTACCTTGTCATGTGGACAGCCAGTTGTCTCACTGTAACACGTATTCTGAACGGACTCTTCCATCTTCCTCGCTCTCAAGAATGAACACTATATCCAACTGGGTCATTGCATTCTGCTCCCTTGATTCAGTGAGGTGGTCACATGACCAAGCTGAGTCAAGCAGACTCTGCCCCAATTTATGTCAAATTGGGTCAAAAGGGAAGAGCCTACTCTTTCTGGTGACTAACCTGGAAGATATGAGCCGGGCACCAGTGGTGGCTATCGTTACAGCTGAATGGAGACTTCTAGTCTAGTAAAATGCACTGATGCTAAAGAGAAACAGAAATGAGAGCTAGAGAGTGCTAGCTTTAGTCTTTCTGAGGCTAGCTTACATCCCTACAATTTGATTACATGATCCAATAATTTTTTTTTTTTAGTTCGTTTAGATTTTTCTCACTTACCATCCAAAGATCTCCAGTGAAAGAGAATTTTTCCCGAATGCTAATGACAGCAATATTTCTCGGGAGGATGCCGTTTAACTCCTTGGTTTTATATCGTTCTGTCATGTTACAGAGCTCTATGTAGATAACAGAGAAGCCATGTAACTGCATTGGGGAGATTATCAAGATTGCTCACAGTCAAGCACTGGCTTTCTTGAGGAGCTTCTCAGATGTTTGACAGCCAAGCCATTCTTGGGACCTGTAACTTTTTGTCTTTAGTGGGGAGTTTTACCTCCTGAGACCTCTAATCTCCTACCTACTACACAACAGATGGAAGTCCCTAAATTACTTCTCCAAAACTTTTAGTAAAGCCCACAATCTCAAATGTGCTATCCAGGTCTACTGAGACTTGGGAGGAGGAGGGTGACAGGACCTGTAGGTCAGGCTGGCATATTCTATGTTTTTGTGTGTTGTGTGTGTGTGTAACGGAATAATTTACAGGAAAGAAAGAAGCATTTGGAGTTGACATAACTATGAAGAATTCCATTATGTGATTTTTTTTTCCCCATGCAAGAATTAGCCAGCCTTCAAGATAGCCCCCAGTGACTCATGCTTCCTGGTATTCGTGTCTTTGTGTTGTCCCATCACAAACCAAATAGGGCTAACCTGTGTAACCGATAGGATATGGCATACATGACAGTGTGAGCCTTGACACTAGATCTTAAAAGAAATTCCTGCTCTTCCTTTGCTGTCTCTTGAATCTTTTGCTCTGGGGGCAGTAACTGCCGTGTCATAAGGCTGTTCAGGCCATCTTTTGGAGAGGTCCCTGTGGTGAGGAACTGAAGCCTTCTGTTAACAACCAGCACTGACTGAGTGAGCCACCTTAGAGTGGATCCTCCAGCCCCAGGCAAGGCTTGGGATGACCAGCGTCGGACAACATCTGGACTGCAATCTTATGAGAGTCCCTGAGCCAGAACCACTGAGCCATATCTGGATTCCCGACTATCCAAGATAATAAATGTCCATTGTCTTAAGCAGTTAAGTTTTTTTTTTTTCTTTTTGTGAGGAAGAGCAGCTCTGAGCTAACATCTGATGCCAATCTTCCTCTTTTTTGCTGAGGAAGACTGGCCCTGGGCTAACATCCATGCCCATCTTCCTCTACTTTATATGGGATGCCGCCACAGCATGGCTTAACAAGCGATGCGTCAGTGCACGCCGAGGATCGGAACCGGCGAACCCCGGGCTGCTACAGCGGAGCGCACACACTTAACCTTAACTAGTTAAGTTTTGGGAGCATTGTTACACAGCAATACATAACTGATATAAAGATCTTCATTTTTCTTAAGAAATCAACTGGATAAATAGCCGTAGAGTTTACTCTGATGGGGAAGATTAAGGGAAGAACAAATAGGAATCAAGATTTCTGCTT